CATTCACCTACGCTTATTACTGTTAGATTATGTGCACCTTTTGCCCATCTTAAACTCATGCATTTGTGGGGGTTTGTGTGGTTTTTGCTGTTTTGTTTTTTTAATAAAAGTTACACCTTAGAAACTTGATATACCTCTTTATCTCATCTCTCATCAATGTTCCTTAGTTTCAGTTTGAAAGAACTAGCACAAAGCAGGTCACTTAGCTAATCCTCTCAGTTATCTGTGGAACAAACAAATGTGTGGTATTTTGCACAGTGAACAGTTCCTCCTCATCAAAATGTAACAGTTTGAACAGAGAGGTTCTAGCATTACCTAAATTTCCCAGGTAAGGGAATAATCTTAGAACAGAAATGTTTGTCTTTTAGAACTAAAAGGAAATCATTTAAGTTGATGTATGTCCAACAGAAGCACTGACAATGAGACCAAAAACACAGCCATAGATCACAATAATTTCAGATGTTTCCTTACCTCCAGTATCTCAGACCACCTTCCAAAGCACTGTATATACTCTCCTCAAATTACTAACACAAACTAGATGATGACACAGCTGTCTGATTCAATGTAAGTTTTATTTTTGCTCCCCATGTCTTTGAACACCTTTACTGCACATTTCCTGAAGAAAAAAACCCACTTGTTATCTGGTTACTTATTAAGAAGCAGAATTATTAAACAGTAACCAAAATGCTGCTTAAAAGGCTTTTACTATGTTGGTAAAAGTGGTTTAGGCTCTGTATTTCACTGTTTGTGTAAGGGACTTAGTGTCCCAGTCCCACAGATACTTTGTAACTTCACGTACCTTTGCATAACCAAAGAGAAGGAACAGTGGAATGGTCTGAAAATAGCCATTTTATCATTTCTACTTTGAGTCACATTTAATAATTGTGGGCAGGGGAAGAGAAAAGGACAAACGTGAGCAAAATAGTAATAAACTGTACTGTTCCTGAGAACAAGGCATACTACCTCCTAAGCCTGTCACACCGCCTTCCTGTTTCTTTCTTCTCAACCACCACCAACATGAACAAAATTCTAATTCAACAATGAAAATGACAGTTACATTTATATTTTGGATAAGAAAAAGTGAACTCATGAACAGTATGATGCTTATAACCTAGAAGATATTTAAAATAATAATATATAAAAAACACAACCCACAGCAACCCTCCCTCCCAAAAAAAAATAAAAATCCAGTCACCCTCTATGGTAGCTCTAAATTGTTGCTGTGAATCTTAATGTTCACCCATCTAAAGTCCACTCTGCTCCTAAAAAGAGCAACACCAACATACTGCCAAAGCCCTCCAGGCACAGCCCTATCACATCCCTCAATGTGCTGGTAGGATGCTCATTGCTGCATGCAAGAGGAGAGCTGAACCACCCAAAACCTATTTTTTTTACTGTGCATTTTTCAGACAGCTCAGCTCCCTTATCTGACTAACCGCAAGCTGAGATGAGCACTCATGTCCACACAAAGGATGCAGCAGAGATGCACAGCTTTGATCTGCAGTGTACAATTAGAGCAGCTACACGCACATTGAAACTGCAACATGAAAAAACAATTACCCTAGAGTCAAATGATGATGCACGGCCCGTGCATGTGTCAAGGCCCTAGAAAAGGTGCTTTAAAGCCTAACCACACAACACTTTAACAACATCTTTAACCACAATCTATAAACAATTCGAAGGGCTGCCTTGCTCTATAGAAGTGCGCTGTTAACTCTTAAAACCCCTTGATTTTTGTCCCTCATCATGAGAAATCCTCAGTCGTTCAAAAAGAAGACAAAAATAGCTGGCTTACCATTAAAAAGTCTCAACTAATGCAAGAGAATGCAAAACATCCTGAGATCTGTTGCTGGAGAGTCCCACCAACCTTGGTACACACAGACTGAGACTGACCTGTGTACTCAGTTCTCAAAAAGTGTTTGGTTATCACACAAACAGAAATCTTCATACTGACACACAAAAATGAGACTGGCACTCTGAACTGAGACCACACTCCCAAAGCGAGACTCAAGTGGTTTATATATATGACAAATGATGGCTGTAGAAAAGTGTATTAGAGAAACAGTATACTTCTGAATTCAAGAAAGATCACTTCAGAACATAAACTGCATTATAATAGCATTTCTGAACACCTTTATTTTCCTGTAGCATTACAAGGCCGCACAGCATGGTGTTAGCTTATAAGATGATAAAACATTTACTTTCACTGACCAAACAGAAAAATGGAAGTAATTTGCAAGATGAAAATTACATGGGATTTAACATTATTTGCATAAATTAAGTGACAGAAATAAAGTATCTAAGACTGTGAATTTTAGTCTAATAACAGAAAGTTCTAATAAGAATTCCTAAGTAAATGTTTTCAAAACACAGACAGAACCAGGAACAACATCATCCTTTTAAAAGATATGCACCTTAATAGATGTATAATAAAAGACATGATTTTGCAAGCAACAAGACAGAGTCTGGGATTAAATTCCACCAGTGTTACACAGAGCCTTTATTCCCTTCAAGAGCAAAAGTCAGACATCCAACACTACACTTACTGGTATTTTTATTTCTTAGCTTTTCTCCCTTCAGCTCCTTCTATGAAGTTTAGTGAAAGCTCAAGGCTTTCACGTCTGAGAAGCAGTACCAAAACATGACAAAAATTCTGTCTCCAGAAAAAAGAGGCAGCATCTTAAAGCTGGGAAAAACGATTTAAATAATAATAAAAAGATAATAAAAATGTAGAAACAGAAGATTTACCTATCATCACCCTCTACCTTAACAGATTCCTTGGTTTGAATTAAGCAAATTTTTTGTTTAATGAAACAAGATATTGTGAAAAACATTTCTTTTGTATGAAATGCAACTGCCACACTCCAAATACACTTCAGTGGCAGCTTTCGCAAGCCTAAAACCTAAAGTAATACAAAGTTAATGTATCTTTGACAACTGAGGCAACAGCAGAGAGAGGATGGAGAAAAGCATCAAGAACAAAGTAACCAGTTTCTTCCCCCACCCTCCCAACATGTAGGTAGGGACAAAGTGAGAAAGGGCATATAAATATTTATCTGGAAGTGTAAGGAAACTTTGTTAGGAACTGAAGACTGTGAAAACAGAAAGGTGCTTGTCAGTATCACACCGCCTGATATCTGTACCCAGGATCAAATCCAAATTTTGAAGAAGAATATCTTATCTCATTACGTATCTATTACAACTAAATACCAACATTCCAGCAAACATGACATGTTTCTTAGAAATAAGGGTCTGAATGAACTTATTTCTCATCAAGTCTTATTACTTCAAACTTCAAAATCCCTTTTTCCTCACTTTCTCTTTTGTCACATCATTTCATGTTCTGACTATACAGAAGAAACCCAAATCCATTCTACACTAAGAGTGCACCTGCAATTCTTCATAGTTTATTGGAAAAAAACAGGAAGAATCGTGGGAAGTTTTGCCAACCAACTTCTGACTATTACCTGAAATAAATAATAAGACCTTACAAAGAGATAGGTAAAGCACAATACATAATGCAAAAGTACCAGCACTCTGAAATTCACAGCTGAATTTCTTGATGGTTGATCTCAGGAAAATTGAGGATCAGTGGTATGTATGAATCAGTTTTCAACAAGTCAGCTGCTATCAATTCTTTCACAACACATGCATTAAAGTGCGCCTGGGCCAATCTACCTCTTTTTCCAGAGAAAACTAATGCAGTAAATAAACCTGTTCCAACTATAATAAATACCTGAATCATACTGTAACATTAATAATATAACTAAGATAATGTATATGCCAGTAGTATTTACTGGATGCATTACAGATGGGAACTGCTCTGTCTCCTTTTGTGCGAGCTCAAAAGTTGTCTGGTCTAAGTCTCAAAAGTACTGGAGCTCAGAACTGCCATAACCAACCAGAAAACCCAAAGGGAAATCTTGCTTCGACATGTATTACAAGGAAGGCTCAATTTTCTTCTGAAATCTTATTCAGAAATCCAGATACTAAATTACACAACAGCGCACCTATAACAAAAACAATACCAGCAACAAGTTGCTAACAGACACAATCCAGACATCTTAATTGCTGTTTCTCCAACTACTGCAGTTCACAGTATATTAAAGAAAAAAAAACCAGGCCCCTCTCAGCTAGCAAGAGCTGTACCACTCACACAGACAACACTTTCAAATCACTGATGTGCACCAGAGATGAAAAGCACACACAGGGAATTAGGAACAATTAAAAAAAACAAAAACAAGGGGGAGGTGTGGGGTGGACGACGACACCACTTAAGTCACTTAAGCTTGTGATGTGAACCTGTGAACCAGTTATTCCTACACACCAGGTACACTGTATAAAAACTTAAAACTGATACAACACACGGACACACACCCCACCAGAAAGGGCACACCAAACCCAAACCGCCGTGTCGATCCCAACCCGAGAACAGCAGGGCGAAGGGGAATAAAGCCCTCCTCAGCACAGTCGCCCGGGTCCCAACCTCTTCCGCTCCCTCATCACGGGGCCGGTGCGCGGCAGCGGCGGCAGCGCGGAGCCATTGTGCGTGCGGGCGGACGGCGCGGCGCTGTGCTATGCGGAGGAGAGCGCCCCCTCCTGCCGGCTGCGCAGCCTCGGCCACCCGCCCGCTGCCCGCGCTGGCCCCGCCCCGCGCCGCTCGCTCTCGCCCGCCCGCGCCGCGTCCATGACGTACCTCTATTTGCAGCCGGCGAGGCCGCGCCGGGGCTTGGGTGCTTGTTATTATTTACCCAGGGCAGGCGGCACCGGCGGGACCCCCGCGGCTGCCCCCGGGATAGGGGAGGGGAAAGGGAAGGACGAGAATGAGCTTATGTTAAAAAAATAAAATTTAAAAAAATCTCTCAAGTTTGTTTTTTGCGGGTTTTTTTTAAGTTGTAATTTTCTTTTTGCGGGAAATTCAATTTTTTCCTAGAGCTGCTCAGGGAGAGTGAGGGGAAAAGCAAATCCACCCAACTTTGCCCGCCGCGCCGGCCGCTTACCAGGTTCTCGTAGCTACGGGGATGCTCCTTGCCCGTCCAGTCGGTCCGCTTGGGCAGCAGCTAGGGGAGGGCAGACAGGACGCCCCGTGAGCGGCTCCCCTCCCCCGAGCAGCCCCCCGGCAGCGGCAGGGCCCCGGGATGGGGCGGGGGAAGAGGGAAAGAGAGAGGGAAGGGGGAGGGAGGCCGCAGGCGGGGCGAGAGCCGGGTGCGCGGCGCCGCTTACCTCTTTCTCAGCCACTTCTCGGATCAGGACCTGCAGCAACAAAAGGGATGAGGGAATGTACTGAGAAAAGGGAGGTGGATTTTAAAACGAAGAAAATACGGAAAAAGAAGAGCCCGATCCGCCGCCCTGCCCGGCCGCCCCCTCCCCGCCAGGCCCGGCGGCGCCATCCCTGCCTCCCTCCATCCCTCCTCTCCATCCCTTCATCCCTACCTGAGCCGCTTGCTGGCAGGGTCCGTCCTCCAAAAATCGAGCGATGAGGAAGTAGAGCTCTGCGGATAGAGGACAGGCGGTGAAGGCTGCAGCTCGCCCCTTCCCCGCGGGCTTTTCTTTCTTCCCCCTCCCCGCCGACCCTCTCAGGCTCCCGCCGCCCTGCACGGTGGCTCCCGCTGCACTCACTCACCCGCTCGCAGCTCCGCCGTGTGCCTGCTGCCGCCGTCCCCGGACATGGCGAGGCGAAAACCGGGGAGGGGAGGGGGGGGTATAAGGGGGGAGGGAGGTTCGGGCCGCGCTCCCGCGGCAGCGTCGGGTCCCAGCGAAACGCGCCCGCCCGCCCGGTAGCTGTCACTGTTCGTTCACTAGGAAGAGTGTCGGCTCCACCATTCAACCCACGGGCAGGAGGAGGAAACAACTCACACCGACCCGCCACCAACGCCACCGCCGCTGCTGCTGCTGCCGCCGCTGCCGCCAGCCAGCGCGAGCGAGCGCTAGCGAGCGCGATCCCTCCGCACAGGAAAAGAGTCCCCTCCTCCTCTGCGCCCCCCGCCTCAGCCTTCCCGGCCCCTCTCTCCTCTCTTCTCCGCTCCGCGCCGCTCGCGCAGCCCCTCCTCCCCCAGCTTCTTGCACCCTTCAGTCCCCAGCGCCCGGCGAGGGCCAGGCGGGGAAAGGGGAAGGGACGGGGGGAGCCGCGTTCTTCTACCCCCGCTCCTGCCCCGCCGCCGCGGCGGCCTCCGCCGCTGCCTGGCTGAGGGGAGAAGGGGCGAGGGCAAAGCTCTACGTGTTTATTAGCGGGCGGGCTGAGGCAGAAGATGTCGGAACGGCAGAGGCGGGGCGGGCGGGAAGGCGGCAGGCTGGCGGCTGAAAGGCGCTTTCTCTGCGAGGTGCGGACGGCCGGAGCGCGGAGGGATACGACGCACGGGGAGGAGGAGCTGAGAAGGGGCAGCGGCGATTCGCGGCGGCGGCGGGGCTGGAAGTTACCGAGTTGCAGTGTTGCAGAAAAGGGAAGCGAACGAAGCCAAAATGCCCCCGGGGAGTGCGGCCCCGCTGGGGAGGCGGGCTGAGGAAGCTTGGCCCTCCCATCAGTCCCCCTCCTCCACCCGCTGAGGCTCCCCCAGCCCCCGTAGCCAGGCCCCTCCCGGGCGCGGGGCTCCGGCAGCCCCGGGCTCTTTTGGCGGCCGGCGGGGCCTTGGGGCGCGGCGGGTTTGGCATCTGCGTTTAAGTGCCAATGTCACGCGTTGTTGAGTCTTGTTCTTGCAACGTCGTGCCCGGGTCCGGGTTCCTGCCTTACGTTTGGGGGGAGTGGGAGCCCCAGCAAGCCCCAGACAACCTGAAACGTGGTTGTTCGTCAGGCGTCAGCTCTGTCTGGGGCCATATCTCGGCCAAGGAGGGTGAAGAGCTCGCTGGGTGCTCCCTTTCAGAACTTTCGTTAAAAAAAACCTCAAACTCAAATAGCTAATAACCGGTTTATTCGTTGTTCTTGCCGCCAACCACATCAGACACGCCGGACTGACGAATCTTGCGGCTTCTAGGAGCGATGGCAAGAGGAGTGTTGTCAACGCGAGGACAAGCGAGGGATGATGATGCCTGCAACCTATGGCTGAACTGGAGGTAATTCACTAGTGGATCAATAACGTACCGAAGGTTCCTGAAAGGCTGCAACATTGTACAGAGCCTGATTAGAGGTTAAAACATTGGTTTATTTAATGCTTGGTAGCTTGACGATACCGAATAAACGTTCTGATTCGTGCTGTAACTATTTGCTGCTTGCAGTCATAAAGGAAAAGAAAATAAAAACAAGCAAGTAATTTTTGCTTTGTTTAAAGGTAACTATCGTTACCACTGATAACTACTTTTAAAAAACAAATCCGTGTCCGACAAGGAAAGGGGTATAAAGGAGTATAATTACTTTATGGTTTGCAATGCATCTATGCTTTTTCAGGTCGAGTTTGGGCCTTGCCAGAACAAACATGTTTGTGGACAGTAAGAGTGATTGTATCAGGGATCGGTGTAAACAGGGGAAGCTGTTATTTTTTAGTATTATTGTGCCCCATTTACTAACTAATGTGACTCGTGAGGCAAAGCCGAAAATATGTTTGAAATTATACAGGAATTAGACAAAGAATGCTGTGTATGTAGAGACCCTAAAGCTCCCAATTGCGTAACTTTTAACAAAATTCGATTTAAAGCATGTTTCTGTGCAGCTGAGGAGAGGCTGAGTTGAGCATTTTCACATGTATGTTTCCAAGGCTCTGAGGTTGCCGTACAAGCCTGCTGCTTGAGCTTTGTGCTTGGCACGGTGAGAAAGCTGCTGCGACCACGCTTCAGCTTTATTGCACAAACATACCCGTGGAAGGTTAGAGAAGGGAGGCTGAAATGTCAGGTATTTCCGTGAAGTCCTCTTATAAAAAGTGAAAAAAATCAGATTGATGTAGCAGATGCGGTGTTGCTGTGCATTTTGACGTACTGTTATCAAATGTTCTAAAAATCATTAAAATCATAATCCAGCATGTCGGTTGTAATCATCAGGGTAAATGTGTTTTGTAGGACAATTTTTTTTTAAGATGTAAACTCTTGTATGCTGGGTTTGATCGCTTTATCTGTAGCCAGGCTCGCGTTATATATTTAAAAATGTATGTGTGTGTCCCTTTTCCCAGTTTTTTCGAACAATAACTGCTCCATGTTTCAGCTGTATTTTAAATCCACACATCACATAATTGAAGTGGCAATGAAATAATATTTACCATCTAATAAAGATTTAAAACATAAAGTGGCTTGTCTTTTATTAGCTATGTAAAATACATATTGTAGTATCTCTCCTAGGTGGTTCTCACAACAAAGGGCTACATGAATAATGTGATTAACATTTTAATTTCCCTTGATGTTTACATAAATATACTTCTCTATGGCATCACTAAAACAGTAAACTGAGGAATACAGAAATTGCAATAGTTAAAAGAGTCTGAAAATAGAGGAAAACTACCTGAGTATACTGACCTTCCCTATTCTTTTGGCAACTCAACTTTTCCTGATGCAGTTTAAAATACAGCCCACAGAGTCAAAATGTTAGTGGTGTTTTGACTGTAAAATAAAGATTGTCTTTTATTTAACTACTGTAAGGCACTGAGCAAAAGGGAACCCCAGTGCCTGACCTGAGCTTGAGCACCGCAGTACTAAAATAATATTTAATAAACAGGTTTTGCAAACATACATTCCACCTCCCCTGACAGGTGAAACCTAGTGGGGTATTTTGTTTATTTGTGGTTAAATGTGGAAATCCTACAGGTCACTGGAGAAGATGCAGAATTATTGTTTGGTAGTGTGCATTAGAATGAGTTTAAGAATTCCTGCAGCAATAACAAATATTCCATTATTTTTTCAGAGATGTTTTAAATGCTGTTGATATTTTTGTTGTTTTGTTGTGTTTTTCTTGTCCCTGTTGCAGTCAAATTGAGGATATTTGTTATGTACACAAGTGAAGAAAAATAGCCTCATCTCTGAATTTTTACTACCTTGGTTGTTTTGCTTTCAGATAATTCCTTTTCTTTCATGTGATCTTGTCCCCTCCCATTATCCTTAAGTAAAACTACATTGACTGCTTTGTCAGTGAGATTTAGTACTTTTTTAGGAGGTGTTTCTACTCTGAAAGGTTTGCATTAAAGGAAAAAAAAAGTTATAGTAGTAATGGAATTATTTTCCTTTTTTCAGCTATAATGATTGAGTTCAAAAGAAAACCTAATAATTTTAATCTAATCATTTAATTGGTTTAACATCTGATAGTTTTACATATTCTTTTTGCAGATGTTGCGTCCTGTTACTGTGACTTCTAAATATGAATATTCACATGTGTTCACAAAAATAATTTTACAAAAAATCAAGAATAAAGTTTACTATGTTTTTCTGTAAATAAAGCTGATACATAAAATTTACAGTCAGTTATGGACTCATCCCAAGGGTTGGTTGGTTGGTGGGTTTTTTCCCTACCTTGGCCTATATATTTTATTATTCTCCTTCCCCTTTCCCAAAAATTGCATGAACACTGTAAGTATCCAAATACAGATATGCATTTGGATTCTCTTGAATTACTAGTTACTTTTGATATAGTATTTTGGTTTCTTCTTGATTTTTCTGTATCTTGATAATTTTGGGGGGGTTAAATTGACATTTCTTCCCCTCATAATTGTTTACATCAGTTTTATGGTTTTAATAGCTTGCAATCAGCAAGTGTCTTACTTGAAACTTAATGGTAGCAGTTTTCACGAAGGAAATACTTTGGTTCTTGTGAAATTTGCTCTTTATAGACAAAGGAAAGTATTTAGGGTTTGTAAATTCTCAAGCTGAACAATGTAGCTAAATATTTGAAGCATGATATTGGTGGGGGGTGGAGGGGGAGACGGATGGTTGAGAGCAACATAAAGGAATGACTAAGCTTCCTTCAGGTTTCATTGGTGGTTTGTTTGGGGGGTTTTGGTGGGGTTTTTTTCACCTCACATGAGAATTATCGGTACCGGATGCTTCCCTTTTTGTGGCTGTCAATTCTTACACTTGAAACCAACCAATAATCAAGAAGTGAGTAATGGAACTTAGGAGGGCCAGTCAACTTTTTTATTATTCTCACATATATTAAACATCTGCAGAAAGAACCAAATACGCCAAAATAAAATACCAGTATGAGTAAACTAATCCTGTAGTCTTAAACAATGACCTACAATTTAACTGTCTTCACATCAAGATTATTTTAGCCTACAATTTAACTAAGCATCTTTACAGCAAAACTCTTTCAAATACTCACTTGTTTGTGGTTCAGGCCAACAATACATCCTGTCTGCACCTTGCAGTGGTAACCTGAATTTTCAACTATGGAGTTCTTTACAGAGTGCTTAGCCACTGTGTATGCTGCCCATATCAGATATTAAATAGTGAACTGTATGCTTCTGCTCTTTACCTTTCTTTCCTTTTTCAGTGCACCTATTACTGTAGACTGTGGATGCCTTCCCACTGCAACCAAAACATTTGTTTACCTTGCTTCTCCTTATTTGTGAAAAGTAGCATAGAATTGGGTATCTGTGTTACCCAAACCACCATCAGAATTGACAAATTAACGTCTTCCAAAAGCATATGCAAACATTAGCTTCTGACAGGCAGGTTTCTAGGTGACCTCCTCATGTGCAGGTTGAAGACTAAAGCAAAATCAAGTCACTGAGGATGACATCATTTGTTTATTGTCAGGCATCTGAAAGTAGATCTAGATGTCATTTATATTTTGAGCAGTAAATGGGTCTAGTTGAATTTCATCCAATAACCCTAAAAATCTCTTTAGTATGTTGTTACCCAAATAAACATGAATTGAACCAGCCATGGTGCTCTTTCAGTTTCACTATTATATCTTTCAGTACAAAAAACTTCCCTTACAAAGAGAAACTGAAAATTAGGCCTACGTAATTCCTACTGAATAAAGGAATTCTACTGGTTTATGGCGGGATTTTGTTTGGGATTTGCTTTGTTTTGTTTTAAATTGAATTTGTGCTCCTGTATTTGGTGAAAGACCTTCGATTAAATTTACTGGATCAGTTTGACAGTACAACTTTCTGTGCTGAATACATTCCCTAATTATCCTGAGAATTTTGAGAAAATGATTGAACTGCTGTGCTTAATTGTTTGCTATTGGGCCTTTCTTCACAGAGAATCTTGGATATTTGCCATGTTCAGTTTCACATCCATTTGATGTACAAAGTTTTCTGAGAATTCTCAGGGTTATGTGGGTTTTTTTTAAGCAGAGCTTTCAAAATACTAATTTTAAGAGGAGAGCTTCTCCATTATAAAAATAGGAGCAGAAAAAAGAATGCTTACAATGTGGCTTTGTATATTGATCATTATTTTCTTAGATTATTGCTTCTAGAAAACTTTTGAAGATGCTTGCTGTTACTGTACTTCCTGGTAAGGTATTCCAGTATGCAAAGGCAACCTCTGTGGAGCAGAAGATTCTCAAAATGAGGTGTAGCATTGATATGTTTTACTGGTTTCATGTTAGAGTTCTAAGCCCAAGAAGACTTATTTTAAGTCTTATTTGACAGATGTTATGTGTATTGATAAATTATAAAGTTTCGTAAGAAACAATTTAATAGTGTCCTTCAGTGACTATTTATCTTAATGTTTCTCTACTGTTTCTTTGTATTTCTGTTTAATGGAGTTTGAGGGCCACTTGTGATTTGGGGTTTGGATTTGATTTTTTTGTTGTTGTTACAATAGTAGCTGGTTAGAAATGCAGCTTTTCAAAATATAGATGAGGGGTTATTTATCTGACTCTTCAGAACAGGGCTGGTTATCAGGAGCTTTGGTATAAACTTGGAATTTAACTGAAGGTAATGCAGTGGACTATTAAAGATTTGCATCTATGTAATAACTTGAGAGATTCTGTCGTACTGTTATCAGAGATACAGTCTGATACACTTGTTAATGTGTAATTACAGGAAAGGCTGAAGGAAGAATATTTCAGTGTTTACTCATTGTGCAATTTAGATAAAACCAGAGGAGGCCATAAGAAATATCAGAGAGATCTTCCCAGAGAAGAGATGAGCCCAACCATGTAGGTAAAAAGTCATGATATTATATCCAAAATAAACTGTTGGGAGAAATAATGCGGGTTGGTCATGTTCCTTCTGGACTTCTAAACCAGTGTAAGAAAAAAAGCTGTATTTGATAGTTGGTAGTAAATAATTTAAAACCACCATTCTATTTATTACAGAGTCAACATTGAGAATATGGTAATTTTTGTCTAGAACTCTTAAACCAGTCAAACAAAATGATGATACAACTTCTGTTGGAATACTGTGTTGAGAATAAGAGTTCAGAGATACATGAGGAAAATACTAAGAACAAGAAAAACATACTCTAGGAATAGGACTAAGGACCAAGGGAAATGGAATAAAATATTTGGCGGAGGTAATATTTAAGTATGGCATGCAAAATTTCCCTGTTTCAGAGAAGATAAATCAGGATCTTCATAAACTGTAGGACACAGCTCAAGAACTGAAGTAGTTGAACAATTTCAAATTAAAAATTATGTTTTCCCCCTCACAAAATACAGCCATCCCAGCCTTACTTTATCCTGAGAAACCACTAAAGCAAGGATTTCAGCAGTTTCCAGAAGAACTGACACTTCCATAGGTAAGACTCCTGAAAGATCATCAGTCTGATCCAGCACAGCCTTGTTGCTAGCTTTAAGACAATCCTTAGTTTTTCCCAAGTGTTTCCTTCAACTGTTGTTTGATTTCATTTAGAGCTGCAAAGTATTTTTATGTCTATGTAGTTGGAATATCTGCTTTCCCCAAAATAGCAATAATGCAGTGAGAGTAGTACCAATATTTGCACTTACAGGAAAGATTTTAGTGCTGTTAGCATTGAACCATTTGGCTGACAGTGCCTACTTTGTGCAGCATATGTGATTTGTCAATCATCCATGAAATACACATCACTGAGATTCTGATCTCCATTTATTGTTCAGTCTTCTGAGAAAATACTGGGTTGCTGATCCAGATTTCTCAATATTTTGTATTCCTCTGTAGCTTCTACTTGGTGCCCTGAAAGGATTATCTTGTACTGTTCAGTTGCCCCAGAGAAACTGTAGAAGAATTTTGGTGTGCCAGGTAGGTGTGGCGTGCTGAGAGCTAAGTTGTGTAAGATAACCACTGATACAAAATCATAGAATCAACCTCTTGATTTCACAGGTTTTAGAGTACCCGAGACAAGAAGTGTGATTAGACCAGAAAT